GAGGCCGGCTAGATCAGGCATGATCACAGCCGTAACAAGTACAAGTACAAGGCCCGCTAGTTCAGGCATGAGCACAGCCGTATCAAGTACAACTTCCGATTTATTGTCAATGGTGGCGCGCACATTTGAAAAATTTAGCCGGCTGCATGAAGCAGGTTCAGCGCACAAAGGATAACCGCGACTTAAGCCAACTGGCACGACAGCCTCAAGTTTCAGAGAGCTGAGTTGGCTTGGGATTTTGCCTGCGGTAACGACGCCTTCTCCAACCAAGGCTGCGAAAAGACATTTTGGGTGATCTTTCCTTTAGAACGACGCAACACACGAACGAACTATCCCAGTACAGGAGCAATAAAGGTGTATTTAATTCGTGAGCCTAAACTACATGCGCCTTGGCCAGATTTTAGACGGGAACTTAAAAATTAACCCTTGATTATGCCTTCATCTAGTTAGCTTTCTAAAATGCCGGGTACCTCGGAATTCGTACTTCTGGTGGGGTACCAGTTAATTGTAGGCGGAGCTAAGCATAAGACAAAAGGAGCTTCTGTTGAGGACAGTGAAATTACCCTGGACATATCGCATACTGTCACCCTGCTGTTGACGGCAACAAGATCAAATGAATGGACCTTTGCAAGACCCTTGAGGTGCAGAGCTAAACGCGCATCACCGCAACCTAGATCAGCTACAACTGGCGATTTTTTGAATTCTTCTCGGATGATCTGTTCCGGCCACTGGAGTGGATCGGTGGGCCATTTTTGAAGTTGCCGTTGAAATCCCTTGTGATAGAGTTCAAATGCACTTGGATTCTCCAAAAAGTACTGGTAAGCGTCAGCGCTGGAACACTTATACATCTTTTCATTCAGGAAACGGAACCTTTAGGGGAGAGGTCACAGAGATAACAGCATGATAGCTTACATAGATGACTGGATATCGCTCTCCAATGAATCAGTTTTCCGCACAGGTCTTTTCAAATGGGGAGGATTGCTGGGGGCTGGCAGACTTTTCTTCTTTTTCCCTCGTGAGCCAGCTTTTACACCCAGTCGGTTTCGCTTTCTTTTTGGCGACGAGTCGGATAAAACCTTTCTCAAGTTGGCAATATAACTGGCATCCATTCTGTTGAGGTAAGAAAGGATAGAGGATGCCTTTTTCAGGGTAGAAGCGTAAAATCTATTCATAAAGCAATATCTGTATCCACTAATTACTGACAGAATGAAAAATTCTAGCTACAGCTGGATAGGGGCGGTGATT